CAACTTTCGATACTCAAACTTTGAATTAAATAAAGCAGAAAATATGAGTGCAAGAAAAAAAGGAAAGAAACTGTGAGACTGATGACGTTAATTTTGTGTACCATAAATTTCGTCAACCGAAATATCAACAAACCAAAATGTTTGAAAAAAGTTTCATCGCAAAATCATTAAATAATAGTCTGCTGATTGTGAGAGAAATAAAATGAACAAAAAAAGTCGTTGATTGATCCTCAATATGATCAGGACAATTACGAAATGAAGAGAAAAAAGTATAATTACCGATGCATTATACAATTATTACATTTAGTATCATTAGAGAGCGAGGCTGCTACCATATTAATGAATTAAGTACAATATATAATATGAATTCATTAGACTTTATAATATAAATATAAAATATTACTAAACACGCTCTTTGTATCGTTGCGTTGCGTTCGATCGACTCGCGTTCATTTTCCTTGTAATAAATACATTCAAAGGTGAAATAATGTACTGGGATAATGCGCGCCTGATTTTTTGAGGATAACTAACGTAAATAATCGACAAAAAACGTAGAAGAGAAATGAAAATATGAAAACTGAACAGTTATAAGTCATCACGTGTTTTACGATCGCCTCTGACTCAAGATAACATACTCTTTCCTGATGCTACATTTATTGTTCGATCCCGACCTTTCTTACATTTTTGCGTTGTTTTTGAAAATAATGAGAGACAAAAAACAATCTTTGTATGCATTCGACGAGATCGCGTTATCGTTTGTATATCGTAATATATATAGATTGTACCATGAAATTATAAGTAAAAATAAATTTGATTAGGTAATAAAATATAAAATGAAAAATATCATGGTTTTTCTTACTTTCATTTTCCAAACCTTAACTTTTAGATCAATTTGAAATAACATTTTTATTTTGTTTGGTTATTTTTATTTCATAAAAAAAAATCCATTTACAAATTTCTAACTAACTTTACGTTCACATTAATCTCACTTTTTTTCACTGTTCTTAGAAATTAATAATTTTTTGATAATTATTATAACGCTATAGAAACTAGTTTCTTGTTTAAATGTTATTTAAACGGTAAAATTATGCCTAATTGTGAATACTGTCGTTATTTTCAAATTAAAAAGAATTTTTAGCTTTTCTTTAATTATTATTACAGATAACATTACATTTATCTATACTGCAATATCATATTACTCTGTAAGGCAGTTAAGACTATTTCTACGGTCAAATTATCATGCTAATTCTAAAAGCACATTGTTTCCTGAGTTCTTCCGAAATTATTTTTCAATATTGAATTATTTAATTATGATACCAAATCATGTTAGTAAGAGTATTCGAAAGATTTGAAATAAAATTTGTGATATCAAACTTATTAAATGTAAAAGAAATCAAATATACCGCTTATACTATTACCAAATTGATCACTCTGTTTTCTTAAACGTACGTAATTTAATTTGAAAACGGTTTGGTCAGCCTGAGAATTTTTTAATATAGAAAGTAAATAATTTAAGGACTGCTATGTGTTCAGAACAATCATAGTCTCAAGAACGAAAATTGAGGCTAATTGCACAGGAAGATAGTTCAAAAGAACGAAGACAAACGCTATAATATAATACAAACTTTGGCAGTTGTATAATAGAACACATGTCTTTATTAAAGTTGACGCCATCTAGTTGAAAACTTGGGATTTGCCAACGTAAAAAAATTAAAATAAAACCAGTTACTCTTTTAATCACGAGTGAGTTGAAACTGATATTTTCTTACAAAATTATCTAATATCTTTTTTCTTTTCGTTCTTGCAGAGATAATTACGTCGAGAGATCTTGTAACCACTAACGTAGCTTTGCGAATTCCGTACAAAGGTAAATTAACATGTAAAATAAGAAAATGTAACTACTTTGTTGATTCAGGTTCATACTGAAAAAGCATAATTTTAATCTTTATAAGAGAATTTATAAAACAAAAATCATTAGAGTATGTGCAATTTTCTAAGTTAATAGTATCACTTGTATCTGTCATAAGTGTCTAAAAATGCTTAATGTTTAACGTATATAGAGTTTAACGTCTAGATATATTATCGAAAGTCGCTCTTATAACGCTATATATAAATAAATATTTTCTTAAATAATGTTCTTATATAATAGTTCTTATATATTTGCATATCAAATAAATCCGGCTCTGCTAAGTCGAGGATTCATTTGACGTGCAATATTCTAAATCCTGCACAAGTGGATTTAGTGACAGAAAATATAAGGAGAAAGATGACATCTAAACTCGTAAAGTCTACTACATGGTCGTCATTTTTTGTTAGTTTCCAATAACGTTATTTTTAACGTAGTAACTACATTTAATAATTACATATAACGGTCAAGTTACATCCGGTAATTCAGATACACGTTAATTTGGTGAATTTTTTTCAAATCACCGTTCAATATTCTAATATTCAAATAAAATATTTCAATATGATGTTAGCAATTATATATCAACTCTGCATTTTAAAAAATTATTTTCAGAAAATTATGACGGATGCGACTGATACTGTTAGCTTAGAAAATTTTAAGGTATTATGAAATTTCGAAAAATATCAATAATACTTTGAAGTTACCTGACAAAATCGGTCGTGATGTTATATCATATATCAATGAAATGTATTAGTTCTTCAGATAATCAGTTTGAAAATTGAATGGAGGATTGCAGACATTTTTGATTAACCGTGATATCAACAAATTTCGTTAAAATTTCAATAGTTGGATGAGGATTAAATAAATACTGTTTCACTCTAAAATTTATATGATATATGTATATACCACATACATTCGTCGCATCAACTATCTCTATATCTCAAAGTTGGTTCAATGACGATAATAATGATTGATGGTCTTGGATTAATTGTATAATGTAAAATCTTAATAAAGAACATTTGCCAATTAATTGCTTTGGTTAATCATAATTCGCTAATGGAATTCCACTCCATCCGACACTCGTACCAATCAAAGTATAATCTATACATCGTGCTATAAATATATACTTATTCGATATATTCTTTGATATTTATGACTATGTAAAAATTGTTTTTTTCACGAAGGTTGAGGTATCTACAAGAGGTAAAAGAAATTGAAGATAAGAAATTTGTCCACTCCTTAGAGTAATGTCTATGCGTCCGAAATTTGAACCTGTGTGAAGCTGCGACTTCTGCAATAATGATCAAAGTGCATCTAGGTGATACTTATCTATTACATGTTTTGATGTATATAATATTGCTAAATGATTAATTATAGTTTTACACTTTCAAATAATAATACTTTACATATGAAAATCGGTCCTAAATAAATTATATCACTGCGTGATCAGCAGATGCAAATACTTAATCGGAGCAATATGTATTTAACTTATAACATATTAAGTGTATTTTAAATGCATAACGTATTGACTTTCTATGAAATACCTTATTTACGAAACAATAAATTTTAAGCTTGACGCCCGCTCGTACAACATTGTCAATTTTTTATAAGATACACATCTGAGGTACAGGTTTTATGGTTTATAATAAATACATTCGAATCGCACGAGATAATTGTAAAAAAAATATGATGAGCAGGCTTGCAAAATATAAATAGGTACATTGGTGAAACTGATGTATGGATAAAAGGTATAGTAACGAACACACTGCCAAAATAAAAGCAACATCGGAAGACAATTTTATTCCCTTCTCAAGAGCAGCAACATTCTTTAAAAAGTCATCACTCTTTGCAGTTAAATAACTGCATAAAGCACGTAAGAATCCAGTGTCTTTAACCTTGGAACGTGCCGGTTAACGAAAGACTATCGGGCAAAAATACATTCGATGCACAAATTTGCCAGAGACTCTTAAGTTTCGGTGAATCAGACGTAGGCACTCGCGATTGTTACCCTTGACTCAATTTCAGGATGGCGCTCAAGGCTCTCGTTCTGCTACAGAATACACATACAGACGAAAGTGAGAAAGAGGCAGGACCGACGCGAAAATGAACGGAGTAATCCTGACATCTGGCCCTGGGCGTTTATATAAGACACCGGTGAACACGGAACTCACGGTCAGTTGAGCACGTTGAGTGTGCGTGCCTTTGCCGCGTGTGATCTCTTCGTTGCGCTCGGCCTTTACTCGTTCCTTAACTTTTCTGCTCGATAAATGTGAGTTTTTTTTTATTTTTCGACTGAGTTATTTTATTGTTTGTGATCAAGCACACGAGTGTTCCTGACATTTTCATACGCAACAACTAAAGTGCATTGCATTATAATTCGTATTGCTTATTTAGAGACACATACTTTTCAAATTGAAATACAATGTGATGTGGTAGCGTTGATATCAGTTAAATAAAATTTTATTTGCGAAATTTGGCAAAGTATACATGTGAATATACCAAAGAATCTCATTTTATAACCACTTCAAAACTCGCTAAATTTGGGAAACCCCTTAAAAAAGTATCTGACAAAAACATTCCAATGAACGGAAACAAGAAGTCAAGTACTTAACACCCGATCCCCTTGAAAGTTAGCACAGTCAATGCGTCAAGGACTTGCATCATCGAGATCAGTGTCAGAGAGTAGCATGAATTTCGAAAATCGCGCGGCTTGCGGACAGCCGCGCATACAGACTAAAAGAAAGCCCCTCGGGCGTATGACGCATTTTCAGAGCGCAATGCCGTTCACCTCTCCGCATTTCCGATGCCTCAGGCTTGGCTGCAAATAATTTTGGCTTTACGATCGTTCGTTGAACTTCGATGAGGGAAATCGTACGTGGCAATTGATACAGAGAAGGTGTTCAATTGAACCTTGACGTTCATATTTGATAATAAAAAGTTTTTCGCTTGTAGAAAAATTTAGTTTCGTGACTCGTATCAACGCAATGATGTCGATAAAATTTGATTTTTAAATAATGATATTGAACATTGAGAATTATAATCTGCGATAAATATCATTAAAAGAAATCTCACCTTAGTTGATATTTTCATACAAGTAGAAACTAAGCATATTGCCTCTTTCTCAAATACAGAACTGTCAAGATGCTCCGATTAGCAGTCTTCATAACTTTGATCAGCATAAGTGCGGCAGCTCCACATCTCCTTCTCGTTGAGAATCCAGCTCCTTTGGCGCACCCAGCTGTCCTTGCAAATGATGCCCAGGAGGCAGCGCTTCCCGATCATTTCAAGAACGACTTCTATAAAAATCCTCATATCGTAGCAAGACTTGCGGAACCTTCGTGGTTTGGTTACAAAGAAGCCTTGGTAATTTTTTGAAATATTACAGTGAAGCAATTGTTGCTCATGATGCCCTGGAAAATCTGAAAAAAGTGTAATTATTTGTTACAGGTAACACATCGCGAGAGTGATCAGATACCAAGGCAAAAAGTCTATGAAATTTTACACAATGCTGGACTGGCGCGCAGATAATTTCCGGATATTTCGTAAATGGCAAGAGAATCGAAGAAGAATTCATCTATCACTTCTCGTTTGTTTTATCCCCTTCTTGCATCCATACTTTATCAGTATACCTAAAGTACACGTTTTCATCCTACGCAGACAATTATTTATTTCCATTGACATTTTATCACGCAAGAGATAACGTGCATTGCAAAGTGGATGCTTGAATTTCTTCAGCTGTCAGTTGTAATTCGAAATACTGTTTGATACTATCGTCAGAACGAAAAAAAAAATTAATAAATGAGTCAACGTCTATTTATACGATTTCTTATTCAGCCTATATACCGTATCGACATTTTATGAATATCCATGAAACTCGCAGGAACAATAGGGAGGTAAACATATAAGTGCAAATGTTTTCGAAAATTCTCGTATCTTGCGTAGTCGAGTCGCTGCAACAAATCGATACCAATTGAACGTATAGTCGACTATCGTATGAAATCGACATTCGATAGATGTAGATCATCATGGACAATCAAGTATTACTTCAGCAGATTATAATCGTTTTCCAACTCGACGACTTACGATTGTTGCGAAAAATCGTAATGGGCTGTAGTTTGACGAAGGTATTGTTACGTATGGTGACGCGCGCGTGCAGTTGACGTCACGCGTGAAAAGTTGCTGACGAAATCATATAGATGCATATTGTTATAAAGTGCGCGCATGTAAAGTGGAGTGAAAGTGCCAAATTCTGGAGGCGTTTGAGAGCCTGTTTCTTTTTTAACGTGAATGATTAAATATATTTCGTTACAAAGACTTAATGTCCAGTTCATTTGCTTGCAATGATTATCGCGATTGTTCATGAAGCTAAGATTATCAGATATTTAATGAATTTCGTAAGAATTGAATATTTGTAAAATAGAGGAGGATTCGCATGAAAAGAAATTTTTACGCGAAAAGGAAGTGTACGTTCGATCAGCTTAGTTAATCAAGATATTAATTATCATAATTGATCTCATTGCCGCTGAAAGTGATGCTCAGGCGTATTTCATGTATTTGTTTTACATAATAAATATTTCGAGTTTCGGGATTTGAAAAGTAGTTCTGAAAGTAGAGAAACTGCTTGGATTAACAGAATTTTGAACAAAAATCCAGTTTTTTTGAAGACATTAAGTAATAAATTTTAGATTCACTACAAAAGTTGCAATAGATGTTTATATTATAATAAACGTGGTATGAATTAAATGCAATCAACAATATACATATATCTTTTAATACGTATGTCAAAAACTATTCAAGTGTATCGTATAGTGTGGTTCAATCGTCATTCCACAGTGAACTAAATGGGATTGATCAATAGATAAAAATGAATACTGATATTCAGACATGTATGCCAAATAGATACAGTTGAACAACGCATTTAGACTATCGTAAGTGAATTTGATAGAATATTGTGTAAGTGATCAATAAAACATTTTTTCTCCCACGAGAATCGCTGAACTTGAATATGTGTCATTATACAACAATAAATTCACACTAGCGGAAAGCTTCGTTCAGTAAATGGTAAAATACCTGTAAATGCGAGTAATACTCGTGACTGTTCCAGTTCTATCTAGAAATCCTTTTAAAATAGTTGTTCTTTCCGCGCGCGGCTGAGTAATTGCGTTGCGAGCGCACCGGATTAAGTTACACGTTAATTGCCTACCAGACGAGAGATGTAAAACTAACATCGTCAAATGACTCGGAATAAACAAGCTCGCGCTCCTCGCTGTTTCTGCTTCTTTTGTAATTGGACAATATACTTCGGTGTTTTTTATTTGACTTTTTCGCATACGTCTCGCGCCTATTGCTCAAGATAAATTTACTATTATATAATACTAACGATTTTGTAATTTTGCGATCGGATGGTGTATTTCGATGCCTTTTTTAGTATCTTCAGTTTGGAACTTTAGTTAATTAACATTTTAGTTTTAAATGCTTAATTTTCGGGTATTACTTACTTTGACGCGCCGGTATGCGTATTTTATCTCAATCTTATATGAAAGTGAACAATTAATTGTTCATTGCGTAAAAATGTGTAAAAGTTTTGTCAAAATTAAAGTCAATAATAATAGCAATGAATCATCGCAGCATAAAACGTAAAAAATTATGGATAATACTGCTTGTCTTTCTTTTTAACCATAGTAAGTTACATGCATAAACAAACATACAGAAATTAAGTCATACAAAGTTGGCAGAAGTAAACATAAATGTATAACAGTGAATAGCTTTGATCTAGAAGAATAGTAATGGGGAATTATTAGAAGTTTGTAGTCGAACTAGGAGTGTAATCGTTGCTTTTCATTTCGCTCTACAATCTTGGCTAGTGCCTCTCGCAATGTAATCATCTTGTTCGCTTGCTATCTGTCGTTTAATTTTTCTATAGTTCCTTCTATTTTCACTATTTCGTTCTCGTAATTGTCAGACGATAGTCGATTCGAAATTTAATCGCGCAGTTATTACGAAACATGCAACTTATCAAGATATTGATGTACAGCGTAGCGCTTGATCACACTTCGATGACTATGACAATTCGAAAGTGACAAAAGTGGAAGAAAGATAGAGAGAGAGAGAGAGAGAGAGAGAGAGAGAGAGATATGTGCACCCGCGGAAACGAAAGTGCGCGCAGGCAAGTCTCAAAGTCACGTAAACGTGTAAACCTGAAGAATATGTTAATCGTTGGCGTTACATCTCCCTGGTCATTTTAAATTCCTTTCTGCGAGGGGATAGGAAGGAACTGAGCTACTGTTATTTCGCTCGGTGCGATATATGACCAAAGTAATCTTTTCGCGGGCCACGTCGCGTTTCGTTTACTCGCTTTGCATTTTCAATTGATTCAATCGATCAATTAGCCGCGCTGCTATTTTGAAATGAAATAATTGACAGGCTCAAGTTTGGTTTGGCAAATCTTAGCTTCTTTTTTCCATGGGTTCGAAACGCAAATAAGTTCGGCGGAGCCAGCGAACGTCATAGCACGAAAAATAAAAAAAAACATGGAAGAAAAACAAGCACTGGAGATATACTTTCTCGCGTCGGCTCACAAACTCTTCTGACCATTAGAGTCAGTAGGTATAGGTATACGCGAATTCGCTTTCTAAATCGTTATAGTGTGCAGAGCGTCGCGATTTAATCTAGAACGCATCTTGCTCAACCTGGGCACTGTACGCCGCATTCTTCCGCGCGCGCAGCTATCGCTCCCGCGCTACCTGTGCAGTTGCTCTCCTTTTCGCAGCCGCTTGTACCGCCGACGCAGTTGAGGCGCTTCTGAACTTTCGATCTCGCGCGAATTCAAGTGTAGGCGCCCGTACGAAAGCCAGCGGAAGACTTTATGTAATTGCACGCGCACGCGGCTTTGCCGATGGGAACTTGCGTGCTTCTTTCTTCTTCTTCGTCTCCTTCTTTTGCATTGCGTCCAGGACTTTCTCATTTTCTTGAGTGCTGCGCAATTATTTAGATTTAACGCACTGCTTTTAGAGATGTTTACGGGCAACTTTGCCGAAATATATAATTAATAGGAAATTATTAAAGCTGGCTCATTGTATTTTCTTTAATTTACATTTATATAATTCCAAAAAGTTGATCGTATAAGATATATATAAATTAATTTTCGGTTACATTAACGGTAATACGCCTGAGTGGATTTCCGGAGTGAAAATCTTTTTCGAACGAAAATGCCTTAGCTAAGTTGTTTGCTAGGTCGTATTATCAAAATAAAAAAAAGCATATATTTCATTTCAAAATTAACACTTTCACTTGCAGAGATAATTTATTTTAATGGTAAGTAGAAAGCTTTTTGTCGTTCTATACATTTGTTACTAAGCATTTTCAGCAAGAAAATAATCTTTGATCAAATATTTGAAGAAACACAAAGTTATAACGTTTTATATGACTGACTTTGGTATTATCATTCATCTAATGACTTGATATTGATAATAACGTTCAATATATTCGATGTTTTATAGCCAATTCAAAACAGTAACAATTTACTGAAACTGGGTAGAACTAGTCAATCTAGTGAATTTCATGATGAATATATTAATGTGTAATAGTTTACTATTGACTGTTTGTCTACTTTCAAATGATCAGTAAAGAATTCATTACTTGACATAGATTTGTTGGGAAATAGTGGCACCTATACCTCAAAAAAAACACGAAAAATATTTAAAAACATTGTCGTTTTCGTGTCAAAAGAGATTTAATTTCGAAGAATCGAATTCTATTTTCAAGAAGTAATACTGTATAAGCATATGTTGTGAATTACAAGAGCAACTATTATCTTTTCAACTTTTAGACATGATTTCAAACCTAATAACGCAGTAGATCCTTAAATATTAGCTAATTATCCATAAATAATTGGCAATGTATTGAGTTCATTTCTTCTTCGTCTCTTTCTAAGTACCTAGCACTTTCAGCTACACCGGACAATTTAATTTGGCATGTCAGAATATTATCATTGATTCATTCAATGTATACGATATGAGCAGACATAGAAAAGGGCAGAATATGTAAGGCGACGAAATATCTGACTGCATGTTGAAGAAATAATGAATAATATGCAGTTTTGAAAGCATATGAAATCACTGTTATTTGCATCTATACGTTACTGGGAGAAAAAATGTGATGTGTAAATGAAGAAAGATGTAACACTTTCATGACTGCACATCCATCAATATTACGTCAAGCAAGCTATGAGAGAAGTGTGAAATTCAAATGGAGTATAATGTTTCATACATGGAGTAGCGAACTAGATGATGAACTCGCTATTACGTATGTGATCTAATAATCTTGCAATCTAGACGATTAAATCACGCTTTGCGGACCGTAGCACTCCTTTTCTTCGGTTCTTTCATTTTTGCGGAACGAAGCGACGATTCAGAGAAGATCTACTTTCTTCCTCGGTGTTATTAGAATTTCATTTGTCGAGAACCGTACGTTTTATGTTCAAAATATCAAGAGATTTACGTAAGGAAATCGATTCAATTATTACAATGAACTTTTGCAGTGCAAAGAAAGGAAAAAAAAAGAATTATCGCATTAATTAGCTCAAGACAGAACCGATTGATATCTTACGAAATGAATTCTGCACGAAAGAGAGAGAGAGAGAGAGAGAGAGAGAGAGAGAGAGAGAGAGAGAGAGAGAGAGAGAAAGAGAGAGAGAGCAGTCGTGAAACGCTAATTAAGGATCTTTCTTTCAGATTTGGCCGAGTAAAATGGCCAATTACTTTGCCAAAATAGCCAGCACGCACGTAATATAATAAAACTTAAAGGATTATCCAATGCATTAAACTGCACATTGACTGAGAATTTCGATCGTGTGAAAATATCGCATCTTTGGAAAAGGAGCCGTCATCGGTAAAATTCTCTTCGGTGGAGAGAGGCTCGCCGTACGTGGGGGATGATCCATATAAGTAGTAGCGTCGAGAACCGCTAACTCGCAGATCCTCGTTCCGCTTCTGCTCGTGTGCGTTCACTTTCATCTCTCTCTCTCTCTCTCTCTCTCTTTCTCGCGTGAAGTGTCGATGTATATATATATTCCCGGCTGCTGTTGTTACTTTGTGTGTTGTCGTGTCTGCGTGTCTCTATTGTTTTGTGCTTTCTTCGAATGCCGTGATGAGTGATTACGAGAACTCTTCATCTTATCTCTAAAGAAAATTAGAGAGAGACAAAATATATATATTCTGCTTTAAAATTTTCTTGATTATCTCGGTGAGTATGCACGTACATATATAACTACGTTCATTATGCATATAGATAAACTGATAAGCTCTGCGCAGTGAAACCAGTGTAAGATGAATTAAACAAGTTAAACAATAAAAATGATATTTCGAATGTTATATATGGATACTTCGGAAGATTATTGGATTTGACGAGCATACATTAGCTTCAAATACTTGGTTTTGTGCTCAAGAAAATTAATGGCATAGGTAAACATTAATGTTAGATAAATTTTAAAAATATGACCGAATTATTTGCAGCCCGTTGTGAATGTTGCTTTAGATTCAATTCTAAATGATTAAATATTATAACCGAATTATTAACTGTATGAGAAAAGTTGAAAAGTAAATCATTGTTTTATGATTAATTTTTTTCAAATACGTACGATTTCACCGACACTACATACGATACCACGGGCAGCAAAATACGAACAAGTGAACCAGTTAATTCGAATCCGCCTAGGGCAATACACACCAACTAACCAAGAGAGGAAACTTGAGATAAGAGGCAAAGCATACCGAGATCTCGGAGAGGAAAAAAATAATTGTTGAAAAGCGCTATAAGTGAAAGTGATCAGTAGCCGAGGAAGAGAAAGAGAGATAGAAAGAGCCGTGCGAATATTAATTTCGATTAGAGTCCCGTGTAATTTGTATCGTAGCGAGGAAAAGTCGGCAAAGTGCATGTGCGCTCGCGGAAGTTATCGGAGCTGCGCCGGCCGGCGCGTGATAGATCGTCGTGTGGCAGCTCTCTGTAATCTTCGAGGTTCCCATGGCTCGTGACGTGCGCCCCTGTGCGACGACTAAATACTGCGCGGACAGATGATTTACCGCGTTGGAGTTTCTCTCCCGCGCGATTCGTAAAAGCTTCGACGTGGTACATGTATATGCATGCCGCTCGTCGTGATTAATGCAGTCGCTGTCGACGTCTGTTTGTCGTTTGTCGCTTCGCTCCAGGCAGAACAGAGGTCAGTGGCCAGGCACACCCAGAAGATCTTCACGTTGCAATTCATCAAACTTACGCTTGAAATTTCACCAGGCTAACGGTCTACCTTCACACACACACAGCTACACCGAAATTAAGTACGTGGTTAATAAATTTTAATGAATCCACGAACGGTCTTGTTTATATGCTCGCTAGTACGAGGATATTTCAAGAAACAACAATAACAAATCAAAAGAATGCGAGGATCACCTTTTTATTGGCTTGTAAAATCTGTATTTTCACCCGTGGAATTTTATGAAAATATTAAAAAGGAAAGTGAAGCATACACAGGTGAAAGCATCAGTCGTTACTTTCATCCTCCAAACTTTTATCGTTGGACATTTTAAAGTTTTCGGTAAAAAAATTAAGGTTGGCCACGTGAGAACCATATGCGATTTGTAGGAAAAAAGTTCTCATAATATCTTTTCTGCACAGGTATTCAAGTATATCGACTATCAATTATTGATACATATTAAAATGTCGTGTGATGCGAAAAAGACCAAAATCAATACTTCTTATGAGGGCATCAGTTGAGAAATACGAATCTGGTTGGGTACATGATTACGACTGAATTTGAATTCGATTCGACAGCGTTGATCTAAATACTTCATCGTTACAAGCGAAAAAAAGAATGTGAGCTTTCTCAAAATCTGAAATCTATGCACTTCTGTCTAAAATAAAACAGACAAATCCGCGCGCGAAACGATACAAAAGATAGAGCGTGCGTAGTTCATAGAATTTCTCCTTGGAGCCACGACACAGGCGATACAATAAGAAAAGACCTTCCCCGTCCACACGGTATCTCCGTGCTTCCGAGTGCATTTATACGCGTATACACGTAAAGCCAAAAAGGCGAAAGGCGGATGCCTCGCGTACGCGGACGATCGGCGGAAGATAGCGATATACAAATCGTGGCGCACATAACGCCATAAAATGCCGCTGTTCTCGTTTATGCAACGTCTCTGTCTCACTTTGCCTCTCGCGAGAACGCGCGCTCTATTTTTCTTGGGCGCGCAGCACATACGGGAGAAAAGAGAGCGTTTTATTGAAATGTTTAGAGGGATCTTGTTGCGTCAGGGATGTACGTGTGCATATATACTTACACTGAAAGAGAGAGAAGCGTCTTGACTAACGTGATCTACGCTCGTGTCTCGTGAAACAAATTTGATGGGGTCGATTGGCTCAAGAGGCTTTTGCGAAATCAGGGGGATGTGCTCAGGGAATTGGTTTTAACAGGATGTGTGTGTGCGCGCGCGCGCGCTCGTTTTCATTTGAGCAATGTTTTGACTTTTCTTTAATGATGCTTTATTTGCACGAAATGTTGGGTTTATTGAACACGTGGCTCTATGGCCGTTCGTATAGCGAACATTTCGACAATAAGCTGTAACGACATAATTACTGGCAGTAAAAGTTAATAGGTACTTGTTAGAAAATATGGTATATCTTTTATACATTACGATTATAAATACATATCTATGCTAGTGCGGCATTATAATTTATTGAAAATTTACGTATTTTCAACGAAACTATTTGTGAATGAAATCGCGTGTTAGTCGAGGCGTTAAGAGAATAATTAAACTTTGATCTTCATAAATAACGGGAAAAATTTTCAAATTGCAAAATTATAAAGGTATTGTATAATAATATACAAATGGGCAAGAAGCACCTAATGCCTATCTGCGCAAATCACTTTTGTGCAAACAGTACCGGCGCATGTGGTGCACGCGGAACTTTCGAGCTAATCGCTATCGCTGTACATCGTTAGCTAACGAGCGCAGCTGAGCCATGACAGTTTACATCGTAGAACTAATAAAGCTGTTTAATTTTCAGAATCACTCAAGCCTCGCAGACAGATGGTATCAAGAGTGATTGGGGCGATCGCGATCGCCGTGTCGCTCGCTTCTGTCTTTGGCGAACCGGTAAGTCGAGTGAGGAGAATTGTAGATTTTACAATGCGTAATCGATCGTGAAATCGATTGCGTTTATTGTCGACGTCGGGCGCTGAAAGTAAACGATTAACTGGCTTTTTTTATTTGCTCCACGTGAGCCATTGCTCAGCCGCTGGAGGTTTTACGACCATTGGAATTTTCACCAGAGTCGTTTCGATTGTACATTCTCGTTGGAATGCGACGCTAATGTTTGCTCGTGAGATATGTATTATATTTTTCATATGGTGGTAACTAAATGGTCCATTATATAAATCCACTTTAATTAAATGTATATGTAATATATTTGAGAACGTTAACGCAAAAATAATAAACGGTACATCGTTACCTCAGTTTCGTGAGATCCTCAAGTTTTCTAAACCGGATGTAATTTGTCGAATAGTCCATTGAGCGTTCAGCGTGCACTCTTGAATGAAATAATAGAATTCTAAAGATGCCTTTGTGAAGCTCGCGAGTTGTTTAATGGTTCTTGCAGAATTTATTCGCGAATTCATTTCTTTTTCTGTTTCACAGGCTATTGATTGTAAGCTTTTATGGTCTGCAACATTGAAATAAATTATGCAGTGATTCGGACATCAGGGATGAAAAAGACCATGAATGTGATATAATTTATGTGTTCTACTTTGTACCTATTGCCAATGTATTCCGATACGTTTGATTCTACGTGTTATCTACATGCGAAGTGTTTATTCTTTTTCTTTAGATTTAAAAATACTCATTTATATAAACATCGTATAGAGTTGCATATCTGTATCGTAGCGTTCTAATACAAGCCTTGAATTTCATCATTGGTGCTTACATTTCTTCTGTCTGGAGATGGCGCACATCCACCATCCAAATAAATTCTTTATCTATGGAACCCTATCTCAGGGATTATCATAATAATTCACGTCATTCAATACATAAGCCCCCAAAAAAGACTCTCAACGAATATTCGCAATCGTCTTACAATACATACCCGAGCAATTCGATTTCCGCTCTGAATACCAACGAGCCGTATGCAATTGCAAAATTCCACCAAATAAGTCGTCGGCAAAGCATTTCGGAATGCATCTTATAGCTCTGTGCGCCTCTCTCATCCCGCATCAATCGGACGTGAGAACACATGGAGCGCATGATTTATGCTGTAGACGCTATAGCTCGGGTTGCACAAGCAGCAGCCAGCTTCACTTCTTCCTCGACTCGGCACTTACGCGCGTGACGCAATATTTGCAGAAATGTGGAACACACATCGAAGAGACTTTCTACGCGCGCGCGCATACAAGACTCCCTTGTGTTCTGTGTATAGTGGGAGGATGCAGCGATCTAAGCCAGTTTATTGACGACTTTCGCGCCTTGTGACGTTGCCGCTACTTTTTATGAGCCTTGTCTACCGAAGCTCGTGGAGTCTTTTTTTTTCTTTTTTTTTCTTTTCTGGCGAGCTACACACTGGAAATTCACGAGGGAAGACTTTTCGGGTCTCGTAAAGTATATAGCGCAAGAATAGTTTGTCTCGTTGGTTAATATTGACGGATCCCCCAGGATTATGGTAGTTTGCTTCTGACAAGAAAGTTGAAAATATTCATAAAATTATAAGAATTATAATAATTAGTATTTCAAATTGTTTACGAGGTAATTTACATTGTAGGCATAGTTAAAGTAACACTTAACAGGTAGCCTTAGCGAAACAATTTTACCGGAAGCTTGAAGATGCAGTACATTAAAGTCTTGGCAAATATATTCATGAATATTGCTTGAAATATGTAGCAGCAGACGGTGAGATTGAACGAGCGACACTTGCGCGCGCTCTCGGAGGACCAACTACGTTCCCAGCAGCAGCAGCAGCAGCAGCAGCAAGATGAAGGAGAGGACGCTAGATACGGGTGGGAAGATTCGGTGCCGGGTGTACCGGGTAGAGACTATCCAAATTTGACAAGCATTCCAGCAACGTCGTTCAGCTGCGCTGGTAAGACAGCCGGTGGCTACTATGCTGACGTTGAAACGAGATGTCAGGTGAGTTTATATTCATCCAGTGACATGTGTTAATTTCAAGTGAAAGTCGAATGCTAATATAATCAATACAAGGCCAGCAAGGTTAATGTACATTAGATAGAAGTCCAAGCGAGTCCTTTGTGAAAAATTCAGTTTTGCAGCCGAGGAAACTCAGCTTGAAACTTTCTAATTGGCGAGCGACGGTTTATACCTGCTATTGATTAAAGTTTAGTACGTGGCTGATTACATTTTTCACACCGAATAATTTTTTACGAAAGATGATTTCACGTTTACGAGATACTTGTAATTTTAAGCTCTGATGGTGTCGATTAAAAAAGTAAAGACATTTTACGACCAATGTTAGCGAAAGTTACACCGTGATAAAAAAAAGCGGAAGCTGATTTAAAAATCAATCCCGCAGGTCTTTCACGTGTGCAGCACCCAGGGCTTGAAAAGCTCTTTTCTCTGCCCGAGCGGCAGTATTTTCAATCAGCGCCACTTTGTCTGCGACTGGTGGTACGACTTTATCTGCGAACAGGCACTGGAGTTGTACTCGCTGAACGACGCCCTCAATGATCCCAACTCGTCGACCGATCCGCCGCTGCCGTCGACAAGTGACGATATCACCGATCGATACAATCAGTTACCCTTAACTCCCATACAGTTCAATTCTATCGCTGCTGGCTCTAATGCTGACCTCTCGCTCGCTAGCTCTGGATACACTAACAATTTACGAGACGAGACTAATCTTATCTACGAGGACTACAATAATAATGCCAAAACGTGACGTATCTTTGTTTTCTTTCATTTTACGTTGTGCACAAGGTTTTTCATTTTTCTTTTTTCTTTTTTTGGTGGCCTTGGTTTGACTTAATTAGGCGTATTGCTTATATTACAAGGCAAAAGTGGGATTTTTTTTTCTGCATATTATCATTCATTTTTACAATTTTTATAACTCTATTTATTTTTCGACTTGTGAGATTTTTATTTTTATATTTCTCATTTTATTTTTATATTTTTATATATAGAGAATGTTTATAAACGAGAGAAATAATTATGTATTGATAAATAATCATAAGATTTCGTAACTATATCACGAGAACGTTACGTAGTCGATAATTTATTGATTTCTTCAACTTTCTCAAATTAAGCTACATTAATATTCCGATGTTTTTCTATGCGTGTCGTTACCCTTATTTATTGAAAACGCGCAATTTTCAACTTACATAACGCGCAAAAGCGTCAAGATTCATGAATATTACTTAATATTCCTACCCTCATAAAATTACTCGGATGAAGCTCAGGCTCAAAGCTGTCGTAAAAATAAAAAAAAAAGATAAATAAAAAAAACACGCGCATAAACTAAATATATATAATCTCTTTCACGTAGTTTCATGCTCGCGGCTCTCATCCGAAAGTAATCCCACACTTTAAGCGGACTCGCGTTTTAAAGTCAATTACCTACTTATGCCTCTTTCTCTCTAACTGGGATTCCCACGGATAAATGATGTTTCATGACGCAGAGCGGAGAAATCTGCAGTGCTAGCTACATCCGGGATCCTGGATAATTACTCTGACGCCCGTCGGAAGGAGTCAATGCGGAGCTACGAGGAGCAGCAGCAGCAGCAGCAGCAGCAACAATATCGACAGCAACCGATTTATCGAAGACGGCCAAGTCAAGGCCCAGACAACGTGCCAAGGGGCTTCTCGAAGCCGCCGCCAAGCAACGACCAGAGTCGTGAGCTCGAACGGTAAGGAGAAAACTCGCCTCGCGCTAGACAGGTTATATAGATTTATTTCGGATGATTGCGAATAATTGACGGCATGTCGCGGTTAATGAGGAAAAATAATTATTTTTTTGCCTCTATCAACGAATGCTCTTTGATCGAAAGCTCTTGTATCGCTCGGCATGCATGTGACAAGGGAAACTGTCGGTCGAGACGAATGATATTGATTTTTTCTTTTGGCGTGACGAGTGAAGTTGATTTGGAACGTTATGCCGCTTAAATGATTGTGCTATTGGTTTTAAGGGGCACTTGAAAGCTTAGAACCGAGGCGAAGACTTGGAAATGCGATAGTGCACCAAGCAGTCGTAAATTTTAATTAATAACGACGTTTTACAGAGAAACGTAACGTAAGGGTATTGAATAATCATCGTGCAGTTTGAAATATGATTGAATTATTTTTTATATATAACTGATAAGTCTTTTATTTACCACGATACAGTAATCTTTTTAATACGATTGCGTCAGTCATTAATATGAATATTTTTTATTTACCATTAAAACATTTTAAGTGGATATAATTCAACGGTAAAGTCAGCAGCGGGTCGAAAAATAAAATGAAGTGCTTTGAGATCTTGTTCAATCAATATTGTAAATTACTTGTGTAAATACTACTCAGTAAAACAAGTTTAGATGAACCTTATTAATATACCTTTATACGTTTCAGCGGTGAACAAGGCCCAGGCTTTTTTGTGAACAATGGATTGTCCGACACTTTCAGAGATCAGAACTATCAATTAGCTGCAGAAAATAATAATTTTATAGATAATACGAATTACTATAAATTGAGCGACAATGAAAATGTCAACTTCAATATCAGAAATGTGAACAATAATTACAGCAACAAAGTTACCGACAATGAAAGTAGTAATTTCAATGGTAGAAATACAATTAATAATAATCAAAATTACAATACTAGGGTTACCAACAACCAGAACGCGAACGTCAATACTAGGAACCTAGTCATTAAAAACGAAAATTACAACATTAAACTTACCAACAGCGAAAGCACAAACTTCAATACCAGAAGTGAAGCGCTCAATAGCGACAATCACAGTAGTAAAGCTACCAACAGCGACAATACAAACTTCAATAGCAGAGGTACAGAGGCCAAGAGCAATGATAATTTTAACAACGTTGTTTATACACAGAACAATAACAACAATAATCTTAATGACTACAACAATTTTTATCAGAATTCTGTGCAGTATCCGCTACCGCAAGAAAATAACAATTACGATAACAATTTCAATACAAATCTCGTCAACGTCGAGAATCAAAATGAAAATTATTACAATACCATTCGAATATACAACACCGAATACAACAATAAGTACAATAGCAGTAGCAACAGTTTTAGCAATGTTAATTACGATAACAACAATAACAATTTCAATTCTGTTAACTATAATACTGATAGCAACTACAGTAATTATAACAATAACAATTTTAATAGCAATGTCAATTACCAAGACGACGGTAGCAATAAAAGCAACAACAACAATAATAACAACAATTATGAAAGTAAATTCCAAACCAACTACCAAAAGCCCATTCACGTCGAATCATCCACCGTCGACTACAATTTTCAAGAAGATCACTATGAAACCACAATAAATCCTGATTTCTTAATAAACTCAGGTCCCTCGGAAGAGGAAGTTGATCGTGAAAGACAACGCGAAGTGGACAGCGTTGATTTGAAGCGTCAACGACCTTCGACATACACTCGTCAATATACTGACGCATATACCTCGGCTCCTGGATTTCTTATCCGCGAAGAAACCAGTTGGCGAGATGACTTATCCACCAGCAGTTCGGGATCTCAAAGTCCACCATTTCCTCCGGAGAGAAATTATGAATCAACGCCGACACTGCCGAGACCCGAAGAGACAACAACTCCAGTAACAATTTCGACAAGGCAACCGAAAGAACCTCCGAAGTATCTGGGTAAACGGCCAGCCGGTGGACTTCTAGGTGGGGCGGGCAATGGTCTACCAGGCGCGAACAAGAATCTCGCTGCTTCTAATGCTATTACCGGCAAGCCAATCGATGAGTCGAGTACGAACAGTCTTTCAAGCGTGGATGATGGTTATAGCACTTATCGACCTCCCCAAGGCTTCACTGCATCACCTAAAGGACAGGACAGTTACAGTGATGCTGGTTACAGATTAGAGGGGCAGTATTGGAATGATGGCAAAGAATCATGGAATGATGGCCGCAGGTACACCGGCAGATACTAAAAGCTGCATAGAAATATTTTTGTAGCATGATTTATCAACAATGAATCAAGATTGAATCCAGAATCTTTTTTATTAAATTATGAAATTTAGACAATTGAAAGTATTATGTTTACCTTTTTTTGAACTGTAGCTGAACTGAATACTAAGGTATATTAATAAGAACCATCGTCTTATTTCGTTACCAATTGATAGTATTATAATTTTAAGAAGTCTCCGATCCATTTCGAAAATATATTGTTCCTACGATTTTATATACGTGACAGGAAAAGTCGTAATTTATTGCCATACGGTGTCCATTAAAAATCACTGGTTACCTTTGAAGATTTAAAATATCATTTATGAGAATGAAGAAGACGATATATTTTTGCTGAAATATCTTGTTCTATTATATTAGTAGAGTATTGAAATTGTTTTACAGATTAACGTGCTAACTTCGAAAGATTGGATATTGTTTGAAAATATAAGTATGGTAAAGTATGGTAATGGAAAATCATTAGACTGAAGAATTTGAGTTTTTTTAATGTTTACTTTGAATAACTACTGCAAGTAAAATACATCTGTAATTAGATTATACTTTAGAAAAACATAAGCAAAGTACTAAGTAAGACTTGTTAATGTAAGTATTATGATTGCCTATCATAGTAATGTAAAATATTGAAATAAATAAGAGTATTGTTAAGTGTAGCGTAACATACAAGTGTAAACATATTTTGAGTTATTCTATTGTACTTTATACTTTACTCTGAAAAATAATAAAGTATATTTTATATTATGTGTATTTATTAGTTCCAGAAAGTAAAATAAACATTGCAATCAGATTTTAAATATTACATATCTGAAATTGAAACTGAAATTGAAAAAAGAGGTTCATCACATATGCTGAATTAGGTAATTAATTACATAATCTAATGAAACTGAAAAATTTGGAGTACAGTGTTTTTAAGTCACTCTCTTACTTATGTACCTTCGTTGATACATTTCATTTGCTAATCGGTCATACTAATGATTGTCGTCTACTTTAATATTTCATTGTGTCACTAATTTATTTTTAAAATAAATTTCGTAGTTTTCAGTGTGGATAATTATTATATAGAATATTGAAGGTTTTGCCATGTTCAGTAATATATGGTCTTCAAACCGTATAATTAACATTTTATATGCAGTTCGCAATTTTTGTATATATATGAAATTTTGCTGCTATTTTCGAGATATTTATTTTACACAACCGATAAATTCTATTTATATATGTAGTTTTATTAAATTTGAAATTATATGTAAATTTGAATCAATTTGCAACTGGTCACGTTTTAAAGCATTGCACTACAAGTAGTATTATCAGTCGTAGACTAGTTTCTTGAACTTCAGCGAAAATGAAAATCGCGATAAGAGGCTTACAGTAATTGCAATGAAAAGCGTGAAAGTTCAAGGATACGTAGATAAGTAGATCAACGAACCTTTAAGTATTGTAAATCATTGAACGTTTTGCTCATCAGTAGTTTGCAATTGAACAACTCGATTGCATAGAATTTTTCATCGGGCCTTCTTTTTTTTATTATCCATTTACTAATATTTTAAGAGTATTAATATTTTGTTCAACTTTTTCAAAAACAAAGTGCCTTATTTTATTTCAAAAATAGGATATTTAACTCCAAAAGTTATTGGATATATTAAATATTTTGTTAGAGTTTACTCAGGCTATTTTGAATTTCCGTAAGATTGCCGTAACAGTCATTTGCGTGGAATAATGTAATCTATCACGGCTACATAGAATAAATCGAATCAACCTATAAATAGATACTCTCGGCAATGCAGCAGCAAACTGAAGCGCCATCGTCAATTTGAAAATTTGAAAAGTCAAATAAAAACTGTCACAAGTGACACCTAGTATGAATTCGTAATAGTATAGTCAGTATTTCGTTGCGCCTTTTTCCAGACGCTCGTAACTGAGCGTTTGATCGTTTCTTGTTGTTTTTATCCTGTTGTTGTTAGAATAAGTTTTATTACTACCCTGTTTTAATATACTCCAATTTGATGAAATCAAAGTGCAATATTACGTGTTTATAATCACTGTGATAAAAGTTAACATATGGGTCCAGTTTGGAGTTCTACATTGCCTTTCACGCGGAAAATTCAATCAAACGTTATCGACATTTTATTCGTGATGAATTCATATCCGTCTAAGCATAGGAAAAGACGATTCTTTGAGGTCACCGATGAAAACAGAAATCCCAATGCTGCCAAGCGTCTTAATAATGCCGAGGAGAATACAAGTAATGGGTTTTTCATTTCTTAATAATCTATTATTGACTTGATCTGATTTGACAGTGATAATCTTAACGAAGCAATTGCTTTATATTTTAATTGAAAATGCATGTTTTGTATGAAGATATAGATATACAAAGTTGAGAGATTCATAACTTAAATTTTTTTTTATATCTATCAAAGCTATAACCTCAAAATATTTTACATATAATTTAAGTATTGTAGATCGTTTATCCACATACCTGCCCATGAATTCAAAGTATAAAATAATAATAATAATAATATAACGGTACTAATTATCTTTAAAAAGTTTTATGAAATTATAAAAAATCAACGTTATTGTACTGCGCTAAATTATTTTGCAATACTCTATGAAAAATTTAAAAGACATAACTTAATAAAACAATATTTCACGACTATTGTTGGTAATTTATATCTTTTTGATTATTTTAAATGATAACCTTTGCTATAACGTCATCGCAGGAAAAAATCTTGAATTATTGCCTAAGTTATAATAATCATTAATTTACATTTGCGTAGGAAAAATGTTTTCCGTATATTTTTTTATACTCAGATGGATAGAAAACTAACAGCTTACTCATTGTTACCATAAAAAAGCGCGCGCTTTTTATCACGATTGATGTAGCAAGGATTGTCGCAAGGAGATGCATATACAACTCGATTATTTAGCAGATTAATAAATGAAAAGCTCTTTCGACTGTCATTTCATATTTACTATTATCTAGGTTTTTTTATTGTAAATTATAATAGCAATATTGGCATATTGAGTTTCTTGAATGACACACTATTTCATGCCAAATTTCATAATTCTTTAGCCTAAAACTATCAACATTTATTATGCTGCTAATATAATACGAAAAACTTATGTTTGATCATTGAAAAAAAATATTGCAAAATCGTTACAGCATTTGAAAGCACAAAACAGGAGAACTAAAATTGTTTGTTAGTTTACCAAAATGAAAACTGAATCACAAAATTACAATAGCGATCCTTATTATTCAAAGATAAGCTTACGCGTTTAAGTATAAGCAAAGGATTCGCTGTGGGCGCGCGCAATAAATAGTCACAGTAGCATGTTACGTAAGAAGCAGTAGCTATCTCGCTTACACTCGAGCTATATATACCGGAACAATGCTCGCCACTTTCGAAAGCGGATGCATCGAGCGCTTCTTCTCTGTCTCTTTCTCTTTCTCTCCTCTCCTTTGCGTTCCCTCGCTTCACCTCCCCCGAGGATATAAGTCTCGGCGCACACGCGGCACTTCTTGATTGATGGCTAATGAAGAGCTGTGCGCTTTTGTATATGCCTGACGCCTGCTGCTTATTGCAGGTGCTTTCGAGCGGTTAATAATTTGATTGTGCACGACTTGTGCACCGAACCCACCTTAGTGTGCCTTTCCAATTATTTATTCATATTTTTCTTCCTTTTACTTTGCAGTTTATTCATACTGAATACCTTGCATTACGGAGAGCTGTAAATTAACTCTGTCGTTAAGTTACGTTTTCGTTAGTTTAATGCGAATAAACACTTTTAGTTCGTCCTACTAGCTTACTAGTCTAAAGAATTGCGTCTGACGTTGAAATAAATGTTGGTTATTATGAACGTCCTTGAGTAAACATCTATCAGTTGAATCTTTCCTCATCTTTTCTTCTGGTAGGAATACCAATCTATAAAACTAGTTTAATTCAAAACTTTAATCATCGATAAAGTTGATCACTTACATTTTTTTATTTTTCATGTCACGTACGTTACTTGAATTTTTGAAATTACATAGATTAAGAAATTTTGAAAGAAAAGATATTCCGAAAAAATAGCGATGGAAAAGGCAATGGAAAATAAGTTATGCGTCAATCGCACCGAAAAACAAAATGAACATTTTTCTATATTTTATATTTTAAAGAATTATTTATTTTTATAAGATATCGAAAAACCTTATGTCTATGAGAGTGCCTTACAATGAGAATTTGGTCTGGCTTAAAATTTGGACATTGGCTACAAAAAAAAAATCTCGTTGGAAAAGAGTCTACATTATGTATACTGATTGGCAAAGTATCGAAGCGCGGAAATAACGTGCATAGTTGCCCCTAGCCTTGAACAGTGCAGTTATTAATATTGACACTGGTGATTACGATTATCCTTGAATGTACACGTGTATTGTAAAAATTATGCATAATTTTCAATTTACTTCTGACGGGAACACGTATTTCTATCAAGTTTAGCTATGAAATTAATTCGTCAAAATATTTGTATCCGATTGATGACATTTTTTAAAAATCTTTCATTAGACTACCAGAAATATGAACTAAACGTTCAAGCTTGCAGAAGTTTGTTACATAATAAGCGTAAGCAGCTCGTTATCATCTGGAATTATTTACACGATAGTGCAGTCGGTGAACTTGGCATTGGGCTTAGTCGTTCATTTACTAGCAAGTTCATTGCACTACATTATATACGTCACGAAAGCGTCACATACCTATTATACTGATTATTTCGATTGAGTTCAATGACTTATTTATCGAATTTTCAAATTTTCTTATGCGTGACTTTACCTTGCGAGTTTTGAAGTGTTTGTCATAGCAAGAACTGAAAAAGAAGTAAAAAATAAAAATCAACAATCAAGAAGGTAGATATCCCAATGAAAAAAGGCGTTTTCAACCTTCGCGAAAGATTAACCCTGAAGATAAACTATCGTCAAGTGCTTCGAAGTAGAGAAAATAGTATTAGTTGCGACTGTGTCGTGTTATCAATAAAAGTGCAACACATCACGTTATCCGCGAACAATCGAATCCTCTTCCTGTGCGTGTAGCTAATTGTTTGTACGTCTTTAGTACTCGCGCGAGATACATCTGAGTAGCAGCAGCAGTGGCAGCGAGTCCGAAGCAGGAGGAGCGCAACAGGCACGTAGATTTGCAATAAGCCGTGTGTGCTTTATTTTTTCAAATTATCTGCAATAGTTGTGGCTCGACTCGAGCGCTCCTCTACGCAGGGGGCTGCTCTGCACTATACTCTAGAGCCGAGCTTATATTGTGTGCAACGCAAAGCGGCATAGCTAGTTCAAGCACGTGCGAATATGGAACGCCGAAGTGTGTCAGGTACGCGACCATGCACTTGTCTTTTTTTCATTGGCTTCTCGCTCTTGCTTTTTTTTTATTCTTTCACGTTTCCATCTGTATGGATGTCTAGACAGATGGTCCATTCTCATTTATTCAACGATTGGCTGATTAGCGATTCGATCACAAATGCACGACAACAATCTAAATACGGATTACACTTCGTGACAGGCGCATCGGTATTTATTTGGATAATAGTTACAGCGTGTTGCGGATGAACAGCAGCTCACGTGTTATTTCCTGCAATTAGCATTCATAGCATATGAATCACACACGTGGTGTTAGAATAAATTTAGCGAATTTCGTTTCATTTTAATTGCGACACATTAATTAGTTTGTATCTATTTTACGATTAAAATTATGTTTTTAAAACGTTCCACCAAATAGAAGCTTACTCGTTGTTTTAAAAATCTATTGCACTAGCAGTCCCAGCTTTGTCTCATGTTCACAATTTATAATTTAAACAAGGCAGTCATCATCACCAACGATTATTCATTCACCAATTATCCGTTAAAAAAAACAGAGTTAGTCACTTGTATCGTCGAGCAAGGCAAATCGGTGCGAAAATTTCGTTGATAGAGCTAGATGGCGAGCGAGCGCTTTGTTACAACTAGAGCTGCGTTCAATGTCGACTCGTCGACGTTTCAGCTATAAATACGAAGCTACGGATAACGAATGGTCTGTTACTACTTGTGCGACCTTGCGCGAGGCTGCGCCTGCGACTGAATACTGAGCAACAGAGAAGAGTGCGCTTTAATGCCTCTGTCGTTCAATTTTTTTTTTTTTTTTTTTCTATTGATTTCATTGTAAGTGTTTTTCTGTTTTCACGATATTAGCTATCGAGACTAGAATAGCGCATTTGACAAACAATCAGGTTTTGAGTTCCGATTGTGCTTCGGTCACGTTCTGATTGTTGGTTTACATTTTCATTCCGTCAAATCGCTTTTTAATCTTTCTTAATCCCGAGAACTCGTCTATAAAGATGTCGAGCATTCGAGCCACGTGCAAATAACATCTTTGAAATTGGACAAGTGCATTACTGATATTACACAAGGTGCAATAAAAAAACTACAATGTCCGCGTACACTTATGAGCAAACAGCAGGCGTGGCTTCACGCGGAACAAGAGAAAAACTACTTTTGGCGCGCATAAGTCTGCACGCACTCGGGCGCGCGACCAGCGAGTATATAGACCTTGAATGCATAGCCAGCTCGATGCTTTGCCGGCTGGCACACTGTGTCACTGGGTATTGCGGCCATTGCCAGCGCTTATCCCCCTGTGATGCACTCTCTGCTTTTTCGCAGCTTGAGCGCTCACTGAAAAAAAGTCCCTTTGTTACAAGCGGATTTCCCTTGCTACAAAATTAATTTTATTTCAAAATAGCCTCAAATAGAATTCCACTCGTTAGAAGTCAGTTATTACAAGAGGCTTTATGAACAATTATCGGCTGTTGACTGTTTCGTTTAGTACTTGAATTTATCGAGTAAACTGTCAGTGTGACTTGTGGACTCGCATGCGTTCTTATACCGCGTCACTTGATTTCGAATTAAGAATAAAGTTTAATTGTCTTGATGATCCAATGCTTGAAAAGCTTCAAGTCACGCGAGTGAAAAAGCATTTAAGATAATTATTAATGAATTCTTCTATGGTTTGTGGTAGAAATTATTGAACAGTACCAACCGTTACTGAGGAAATACGAAAATGACAGAGACCTCGTTATTCTTGATGCAGAAGAGGAACTCGGAACCAAACCAGGCCAAAACTATCTATCGATAGTACTCAGAACCAAAATATTTGGCAAAAAGGGCGACGGGAAATGTAAGTGTTAAAAAGTTGAGTTCCCTTTGTATAGAAATTCATTAGACATTTTCTTTTCACATTTTAGTGTACAAAAAGTCATTTATTCGTAAAATAGCAGTGGAAAATGAGACTTACAAGACGATGGCTCGCAGTGACGATTTGTTCCGGATAGAGGCCCATATGTACGAGAATTTGCTGCCGCTCTGGGGTAACATCGGTCCTAAGTGCATATTCTCGCAGCCCGACGAAATAATCCTCGAGGATTTGGGACAAAGGCAATTTAACACTTGCGAGATACGAAATTTCTTCGACCTCGACCACTGCTTAGCCGTAGTACAAGTAAAATCTCGCTTACATTTCAAGTAAATTTATTAGCACAAGGTGTATAAAAAAATTAAATATTTTTTTAGACGTTATCATCTATGCATTCAAAATCGTTGAGTCTGAAGTTGAAAGAACCAGAAACATTCGAAAGGTTAATCGCACCGCTCAACGAGAATATATTTCCCGCAGATGAGCGTCCATCGATGAGTATTCACTACGAGAACGGAATTGGCACAGCACTCACCCTTTTGCAGTCGATTCAACCCTGCGTCCCAAAAGTTGACCGTGCAATCAAATTCTTGCTCCACTATCAAAATAAAGTGGTTGCGACGATGAAGGAGTTTCTATTGCCGAGAGCGGGCACCAAGCGATACTGGGTTATCACACATGGAGATACTTGGAAGAATAATATTATGTTTAATTACGATAACGAGGGTAAAATCGTAAATGTCAAGTTCGTTGACTTCCAGGTGAGTTTAAAGAAATTGCCAATTATCTTTTGTAAAAAACTTGAAAAAATGGTGTTTTCTAATTTGTTCTCGTGTCGAGTGAATAAAAATAATACTTGCTTAGGAATTAGCGATATGAATTGAAACAAGCTGTTTGTAATTAACGTAATCTCCATAAATGACCTTCACAGCTACAAAAATCCTTTGAAATATTTCAAAAATACAAATCGAAACACCTCGTTGCCTGATTGCGCAAGTAAACACTTACCCAATTACAAACGCAGTAGTGAAGATCATATGAAACAAGAACTGAATAAACACATGAAATTTGAAAATTGTTATCAGATTGCTAGGCACGCTTCCGCGGCGCTCGACTTTACCTACTTCCTGTATACATCTGCTCAAGCCGAGGTCATCGAGAATCATATTGATGACATCGTAGCCGAGTATGAGCGATTTTTCCTTCATGACCTTCGTCGCTGCGATGCACTCGAGTCTGATCTCAAGGCTTTTTCACGACCTGGGTGGTTCACCGAAGAACTTCAACGATATGGCCTGTTCGGGTTTCTTGGTGCACTTACCACTATTAATGCCATATTCATGGACGAGGAAAGAGCTGCTCTCTACGGTATGTAATATTCATAGATTTTTCAAGTGTGTGTTGGTGCTTTGATTGTAACTTCAAATGTGAAAATTGTTAAATGCACAATGCATATTAACGTAATAATAATATTTCTTTTAATATAAATGATTCATTTTTATAGAAAAATCTAAAATTGGCGACGTAGAGATTCCAAGTGGTGGAGAAAGTTCAACGGAAAAAAGAGATAGGATACTGTTTATGATCGATCACTACATCACGCATTTTCGAAAAGACCTCTGATGCCGGAATATTGTAGGCATATATTTTTCCTGGCTACGTTAAGTTATGGTGTTTTACTAGAAAATTTTAGTTGTTATGTTTTTAAATTATATATATGGCCAATTCCACACAAAAAATATATTAATTCGGCTTCCTTTTTTAAAAACTTCAATTATATATATTTTTTCAATTATTTTATAAAATTTATAAAAACGAAAAATGATAGAATTAATTTGACTTCGAAATCGAATTCCACGGGTCAAAACTCGTTTAAACCATACCTTGGTTTATTTTTTGTTCAAAATGTTGACCCTTGCAAAACTTTAAAAACATAAATTTCACCTAAACCTGTCATTTTGACAGTTTTATTATAGCAATAAGTTACTTACGCAGTGCTATAGCATTCAAAGCTTTGTAAGAGTTGAAATTTTGAGCAAAAAATAAAAAAAAAATAGATTTTTCTACATACATTTCAGCCATAGAGGTTGAATTTGAAAATAAAATGACGTCATTTTTTATTGAATTCAATATCCGCGATGAGAGGTAGAATTATCTTTTGAGTTTTATGAATAGTACATTTCTAAAATTAAATACGAAGAAATAGGAGCACACGCTCAATTTGAAAAGTTAGCGAACCCGCGCCAAAAAATGCATTTTCTGTGTGGAATCGGTCATATACTTTCACGCGTTACTATTTATACCAAAGGGATTTATAGTGCAGTTACAAAGTAATTTATTAAAATAGTATTTTTATACGTTAATTGTCAAAATGTTTATTGCCATAATTATTTTTTATAAGTATGTATTTTATAAATGTGTGCATAACGTTTATCAATTGATTTTAATGTTCATGTTCATGCTATATGGTCATTGTGGAAATTTTAATAGTCAGAGTATTCTACTGTATAATTTTCAAAGAATTACTTAAAGCTATTGTAATTGGCGTATTTATGTAACAGTATTTTTACATTACGTACGAAACTTAATTTTATTCATGCTGCGTGCATCTAGTTTTGAATATTTAATCCATGAAAAAAAATTAAACAGTCTAATAATGTTTTATTAGAATCAGAATATAAAGTAATGAGGTAAGCGTGTATAGTAATGTAAATGGAGTACAAACTATGGGTGAAATCGAGAAAAAGAAATATATAGTAGCTGTATTTTTGTACAATCGTAACTGTGGGAGAACAGCTGAATGCTGGAGAAAAAGCGTTGACGCAGTAATCCTTACTTTTTACAATGTATCTTCCGCAGTTCGTCGCCGCCGAGAGCCCGAGTTATCTTTTTCAAGCGACTTAGCAACTCGTAAATCCTAAGATGCTAGCTCGTGAATATATATTGTACCTGCCTCAAAGTTTTTAGCGTTAAATTTGTATATTGAATTATTGTGTAGTATATTTTTAATATATATTTTATACCTACTCCATCTGTTTATTTCTATGTACATGATGTTATTTATCATAGAAAAATAAATTTTTAAAGAATTTTTGTGCAGTATAATTATTTAGCCGTAATCATGTATCTATAATTTTCCTGAAGTGAAAGACAGAGAGAGAAAGAAAAAAATGTATAATGCATGCAATGTGAATTTGTAGTGCATTGATTAAAAATAAGTCGCAGATAAAAACAAACAAATAATAATAATAATAATGAAAAAAAAATAAAGAATCAATCAAGCAATCTATTTTTAGCTCACGATTAGAAAATTAAGACTTTTTTTCGAAGTCACTACGTCAGGGTTAATAATTGTGAAGTCGTTTGTGGATGCGTGAGCAAGTGCGCGAGTAGAGATTGGTATGGTAATGCCATTATCAAATTGTAGACTTTGAAAACCACGGAAAGGAAACGTTCTTTTCAATGAGTGGATAACAAAGATAAGCATCTACAATCGTTGATAAAAGTGTAAGCGATGTGAGCATGAGTACACGACCTATTCGACTTTCATATTTAACCATCACTATCAATGTAGATTAGTTATTTTTATACATTATCGAATACATTAACATCATGTATCCGTCCTTTATTCTCACGTTTCGAGTATTAAATTCCATATGATTGATTTTTTATTAAATTGATACTATTGTCACCTATCATTTTGTAGTAGGTGTATTTTAATTTGATCAGTAGTAATTTTCTTTCAACTACTGTTGGAAGAAAATTAATTTTAACAGAATTTACAAAAATCCTTACTTCTTAAACTTTCGAACACATGTACGTTCAACATATTCCTATGAAATTTTCAAGTAATTATTTCCCTATTATTCTCATTATATTTTGAAAAAATATTTAATCCTTTATTTTTACGTTTGTTGAATACTATTGGCATACACAGTCTAAAAATACATAAATGAATCTATCATATGTTGAAAAAAATTACAAGTCAAAGAAAATAAAATTTCTTCATAAGAGGATGTCGGTAGTGGAAGCTCCCTAATCTATATATTCATTATAAAATGGAAACAAAGGATCAAAAATCTTCACTTCTTTGTACTAGGCAAAATGATTAATGAGAGTTATAGAGGAGCTGGAAAACGGTCTAACAGCGATAGATGGCGCATGAAGTTCGTTGAGTATTTGTGGTGTATGTTTGGTTGTCTCGTAACCGTTTGGTCTGAATATTTATGTTATATACAAATAGTTTTGAATAGCTTATTATTTGATATAAGAGTTCAATGAAAAACTATTTATTAACAATTTATTAGTTTATTCACATATGATATATTAACCAGATATCATAAGTGCCAACGATCAAAGTTGACACTTTTCCTTTTTTTTATTTAAGCAAGAATCAATAATTAATTATTAATCTAAACTAATAATTAGAAATTATATTATTATTTGTGAATAAGATTCAGATATAATGCGGATACCTAAATCTTTTTCCCTTCTCTTTAAAAAAATAGTGAAAATAATATTAAAATGATTACTTCAGAAGTTCTTTTTTCTACTTTTTGTCGGGTATGGTGCGTGGACATAGTTTTACGGAATCCAACTGGTATGGAAAAATTCTCTAGATACTTTCTTCTTCAAACATATTCTCCATCTTATTAAAAATAAACTCTCGAGCAGTTTACCCATTACGCGTATTATTCCCACTGCGCTATAAAGCATGAATCTGTGCTGTTCTGCTGTGATTTCTCTTGGATATCAGGATCAGTTTCTATCTTTTCCATTCATCTGGAAAATTTTTTTCGTTAGATGTATGTTAGCAACACTCAGTAGCAGTTGGGGCTAATTTTTTTCACTAATCTCACCACTTCGTTGGGGACTCCGTATAGTCCTGGACTCTTGCCGGAGGATAACCTATTTGCTGCAGATTAAAATTCCTGCTGGTTAAAGGATCCCCTGTGCTTTCGCATTCTTCATTTAGAAAGTTATTCCGAGGCTTTCCCATCGAATAAAGTATTTTCACTATTCTACGCAGCTTTAGTTTATCATCTGATATACTTGACGCTTGCAATCTACGGAATTTATTTATCATGATTTTGTACGTCAAATTCCATAAATCTCGATGAATCAACTCAATAAGATTTTTTCAGCTATTTCTCTCTCTCTCTCTCTCTCTCTTAAATTATTATCTTAAATATGTTTCTTTATTAAAAAATTAAGCAATGATAAAAGATTGTACGACAAAGTAAATTAAATATAGAAAATTTTTTTCCACGTGTATTGTACTTATTATTATTATTATTGAAATAAAAGTTAATTTATTAATCTATTACTCGTAAATGACACTTGAAAGACTGCGGAGATCGCATTAATAATTGCAAAGCTTTCTTGCAAGGTTTTTATAGCTTGTAAAACAAATTCTATCTTTAAAAAAATGATGAGTCGTTGATATCCAGCGTTGTGATTAGTTCATGCTAGAAAAAGTGCGAAATTTTAATTTTTCGTATACTTTGAAATATTTGTATTATAACTATACGTAGGAGTATGAGATTTATATTTCAGCAGTTAATTAATTGATGTATAATTAATATGGATAATAATTTGCAAGAAATGTGCTATTCATAAATCGTTTCAAAAGCATAAGAGGTTACATTTTGAAATTATTAGTATATATCGATAATTTTATAACCATCTGAGATATCGAAATTAATATATTCATAAAATTTGGTTGGCGAAAGAGAAAGTGAATAGAATAACATGGATAGGAAAATATATTTTTATCTTTTATATATTATAGATTAAGAGATATGCGGGCAACAGAAACTAATTATAAGAATATAAAACCCAAACCCAACCCCTTAAATTTTAAGAATGTTTCAAGATTCAAATAATGTAATAAATAACAGGACAGCATCAAGAAAAAAGCACGCTAAATACGCTAAATAACATTAGTAATCATAAAAATCGATTTATCTAAGTAAATAACGTGTTTAATAGTTTTTATTGTTAAAAGCAAAATCAAGTTGATATTAAAATTTTTTCTCGAAAAGTATGGACCATATCGGTCGGTAATATTACGAATGAAAAGGTTCTATAATCAAAACGTTGATTATGATAAAATAAAAGGTTATATTATCGACTTGATAGATTCAAAATAAACCTGATTTATCAGAAAAACAGTGTTGATTGTGTGTGTGTGTGTATGTGTAAGCATCTAGTTCCTCAACAATGCAAAATCAAACTGAAGCGCCATCATCAGTTCAAGTATTTGAAATGTTACCAAAATCTCTCTAGAAGCTGACGTCATATCTGAAGAAAACTAGTTTCAGTAGTAAAGTAAATTCAATAAAAGTCTATACATGTTATATTTGAAGAACGTCTGGATCTTGTGTTAACGTTTTAGCATACCGTGTGATTGATAGAGTTGGAAATTAGGTTAATTTTCGAAATGGATCTAAATTTAAAAAGGCCATATCCCAGCGTCAGTTCAGAGCAAGTGGTAGCGAAACGGTTATGTGAGGAACAGAACGGTATAATCTATCTAGACATTTTCAAACATTTTCCTACAAAAGAAATTCCTAATTTAAGAAGGATTTCTATTTACAATAAGTATGTAGCAATTATAAGTAACCGATCTCAAACTGAAAGTTTGCAAAATTTTGTTAAAACAAGGAAGCCTTAGTTTTTTTTGCAAGAGTTGCTAGTAGTTATTTTGACCATTTCATTAAAAATGATTTATTTAGAAATCCATAGAAAATCATAGAAAAAAATGGATATTATTCAATAAAATAGAATTGTTTGCTCAGTAATGTGAAATATTTAACTGAGTAAAATATATATATTTCTGCCAGTTGTACAGTATTTCGAAATCCTGTAATCTATACACAGAGAAACATTTATTAGAAAAATTACAGTGCGGTAAAGTTACAATTCAGTAAAATGTATTTGTCACGGTACAAATTTCACGGCTAATTGATTTTCACATATTTGATTAATAAAACAAAACATTCTTTTATTGATCAAGTAATAGAATCATTGTATGATGTCTTGTCTGCGAGGATATACATTTCCATAAGTTATCAGCTTGGCTGTTTGCCACCTCCTAAAATTTCGATCTTACAGTAAAAATATTCTAAAAGATATGTGAATAGAAAAAGGATTTAATAATTGTGAACTTTTTTATTGTTCATTGCAGAGTTTATTGCAAAGCTTGAGTTATTGCTGAAGAAATCAGAAAATGATGACGCATTTATTATTCTTGATATAAAAAAGGAAGCTGCGAACAAGTCAGGCAAACATTATCAGTCAATAATGACTCGAATCGAAATTACCGGAAAATTGGGTGACAAAAGTTGTAAGTACGAAAAAAACTTTTGTTTTTAATTACAACGACTACATCGATATTAACTGAAATTGGTTTTGGCATTTTAGTGTGCCATAAGACATTTATCCGTAAGGTACCAGTGATAAATGAAACTTTAAAGGCATCGATTCGCAGCGATGATTTGTTCCGGACAGAGGCTTATGTGTATGAGAATGCGCTAAGTTTTTGGGGTGCCATCGGCCCTAAGTGCATATTGGCACGTCACGATGAGATAATTCTCGAGGATTTGTGTGCGAGACGATTTAATGTCTGTGAAATAGAAAGATTCTTCGACCTCGACCATTGCTTAGCTGTACTACAAGTAAAATCTTGATTACATTTCAAATAAATTTGAACGAATTGTTGAGAAATAAATTGATTTTTTTTAGCTATTAACATCGATGCATGCAAAATCTTTGAGTTTGAAGCTGGCAGATCCGGAATCTTTTAAAAACTTGATTGCACCGTTGACGGAGAGTATATCGCCCAATGATGATAGTCCTTCGCTAAGTACTTCTTACGAGAACGGAATTGCAATAGCGCTCCAAATTTTGTTGTCGATTAATACGAACGACCCAAAAGTCGAACGTGCAATCAACTTTTTGCTCTTCTATCAAAATAACGTGGTTGCTACGATGAAGGACCTTATGATACCTAAAGATGGTAACGATAAATACTGGGTTATCACTCATGGAGATCTTTGGAAGGATAACATTATGTTTCATTATGATAATGATACTGGCCGAATCGTTAGTATCAAGATGTTTGATTTCCAGGTAAGTAAGTTAGAAGAAATAACGATTATCTGTTGTAGAAATTCAAAAAAGTTGATTTTATTGTTATGTCAGTGATAACCTTCTAACGTATGTACCAAAAAAATACTTTTTAGAAATTAAAAGATGTATATTTAAATGATCTTTCTGTAATCAACTTAATTTTTATAAAGCTCTTGTAGCTACAGAAATCTTTTGAAAATTTTCAAAATACGATTTGAAACACTTCGTTGTCGGATTGTGCAAGTAGAGACCTACTCAATTTAAATGAGAGTAGTAAAGATACTATCAAACAAAAACCGCTTGTAATATGAACATTGTCGACAGATGACGAGGTACGCCTCTCCGGCGCTCGACTTTATCTACTTCCTGTATACATCTATTCGACCCGAGGTTATCCGGGTCGACCTTGATAGTATGATAGCCGAATATGAGACTTTTTTCCTTCATAGTCTTCGTTGCTATGATGTATACGAGTATGATCTCGTGCCTTTTACACAACCTGGATGGTTCGCCAAAGAACTTAAACAATACGGTCTGCTTGGACTTTTCACCGCACTTAATACTATTCATACCGTTTTTATAGATAAGGAAAGGGCTCAGCTCTATGGTATGCAATATTCTATCTAGCTTTGATTATAATCTCAAATGGAAAAATTATTGAATTCGCAATGTATATTGACATGATAATAATGTTTATTTCAATAACGTAAATAACCAATGTTTACAGAACAATGCAAAATTTCTGAAGTCTTCATCCCGCCCGTTCTGACAGATTTACCAGAAAAAAATGAAAAGATACTATTTATGATCGATCATTTCATTACGTATTTCGCAAACAATTCTTAATGCAACAAATTTCAAGATAGTTCGATTTTTACTGGCGACAGAAATCTAGTTATGTTTCGTTATAAAATTGTCGTCGTTACATTTTTAAATTAGTATATATTTTCTATGCGTTAGTATTTACATCAAAGCGAGTTGCAATATAAAGAGTAATTTGTGTAAATAGTATTTTTTATACCTTAGTTAGAATTAAAAAATGATATTGTTATAAATTGTTTATATAGGATATATTTTATAAATGTGTAAATAGTGTCGCTTAATTGATTTTAATATTCACACCAGTGCTGCATATGGTCTTTGAAATTTAATCGTCAGACTATTTTACTTCCTAACTTTTAACCAAATTGTATAGCATATTTATGTAGCTGTATTTTTATGTTATGTGCGAAACTTAATTTTATTTACACTAATCACGTGAACTCGTGAAAAAGAAAGATGTAATTGTATTTTTGCACAATTTTAATACTGGCAGAATTGCTCAGTGTTGTATCTGTATGGGCTATCTTTTTCAAACGACTTAGCAACTCGTAAATCCTAAGATCTAAGTCCGCAAAAATATATTGTACCAGCTCAAACTTTTTAGCTTCAAACTTGTACATTGAACTATTATGTAATAAACGTTTAGAATACATTATTATTGTTATTATTACTTCAAGAATTACGTACAGTTGAAACGACGCAGATGTACACTAAGCACTTGTACGTAATTGTCTTAGTTCCCTATAGTCATTAACGTGTTCTTACTTCCCCTTCCGTTTTTGAATATTTTAAATGTATTATTCTTTTCTTATAATTAACTACAACTTGGTTTACCGTAGAAGAAAATTAGAGACTAAATTTTTCTTTGGTTTAGTTAACGTAAAACCTAATAGTATTTAACTGTTTAACGTCATTTCTAGTTCATGACCTAGAAGCTTTGGATAGACGAATCATAGAAAGTTATAAGAATAAAGTTAACAGTTTCCGTATACAGGCAATTGCGTTGATTTCATATATACAGAATTACGCAAACCGTCGGGTGAGCATCAATCCTTCAGATTTTCTTATCGTAAATTATTTGGTTGTAATCTTTCACTTTTCATTTTTCTGAAATGAAAGAAGGACAAAGAAGAAAGAGAAAGGTCCTCGTGTGAGGCCTAATATCAATACATCTTTATTCTTATTTACAAACATCTTCCAAAGTATATGAAATGAAAATATGTTGCGCACCGATCGAAAGTAAGTCTCGGATTTTCTGCTGTAAAAAAAAAAAAAGATTTCTTTAGAAATTAATCATCGTAATAACCAGAAAAAGGAAAAAAAAAGAATTAATCGAGCAGCGTGTTTATAGCTCACGATTCGCGCGTGACCCTATGTGTTGTGTGTTGCGCTCTTCCGCGATTTACCGTCGGCGTCGACGACGGTCCTAATGATCGCCGCCAGGCCAGCAAGATACGAATCGCAGCCGAGCGCGCGAGTCGCGCAATAATTCCGCGATTTTTCGGGGCACGGGAAAATGTATTGTGCAGGCTGCGCAGCGACTCGCACCCGCCGACTAGCCAAGCATTTTTTTTTCTTTGTTTTTGAAAGGCTTGTTTTACTTTACGCGTGCGCGCTCTGCGATTTATGAATCGCGCCGCCTTATATACGGTTCTTCGTATTACTTGCGTTATACGATTTATGTAATCCCTCTTGGAGACGATGCTTCTAATGATGTCGATAAAGTGTCGCTTGTTGGCTTGCCGATTGACTTGTGCGAGGAGTCGCGTTTGAACGCGTCCATTTTTCTTCGAATTTCCTGCAGGGATTGATGATTGTAATTTGGTATTGGATGGATGATCTATTTTCACCTATTGATAATACTCGGACTGGCGATTTTTTAAATTCGATTGATTTATTATAATAACTAAAAATATTCTTTTGGTTGAAATCAAATAATTTGCACTTCCTATACTTTTCATTACATTCGAGGCTCAAACATGATTATTTTACTTTCTTTCTTGATTATTAATATAATTTAGTAAAGTATCTAATTCTTGATTTTTCAGTTTGCATAATACAGATATAATACATATCGAATGCAGTTTGACAACAAGCAAGCAAAGCAATCATAGGCTGGAGGAAATTGTACGCGGAGAAAGATTAAAATTACTTCTTATACGAGTTATTACTTAATTAGCCGAGCAATGGTAAGATAGGAAGAAGCTACGGACGTATCTGTCTTTAAGTCACGATTCATTTTTATATAAATTGAGAAGTGTTACTCAATACGGAGTACTTTCTCGCACGTCGCATCCTTCGAAACACACGGGATGAAAAGAAAACCCGGGCATGCAGGATATTCGAGGTTCAGGTGAAAAAGTAAGAAATGAACGATTCAAACGTATGCGCATACATAGAGAGAGAATCGTCTTTTGAGTCTAGTCAGTGGGTATATACGGAGAACTCCGCGATGTACCGTCGGCTTTCACAATCGGATCGTGATAAATCGCAGCCACGCGCCCCGTTCCCCACCACCCACGACGCTACTCGTACATAATACGTAACGTATGTGTAGCTCGGCGAGATGCCTGCGAATTCTAATCTTTGCATCTGTCGAGAGATAAAACGGACGTAGCCCTAACGAGGCTGGGTCACTGGCGAGGGCTTCGACGTTCACTTTCCGGCATTAACTGATTTCCGAGTACACTTAAATCTCGCTCCCCCCTGCTTTAATTGGCTGCTGCGCGCATTGCATAAACTTTTAGCTTCAAATTTTCGGCGCGATGCGGGCTTACATAAGTTTATTCGGATGAGCCTCGTTATACTTTTCTCTCTTTTTTTCGAGAGAGCGTATACTCATGGACAGCACAAAGAGCGCACAGTTTTTGTGTTTATAAATAAGCTTTCAGTTTTAAGCTGCGCACACGCTTTTATATTCCTGCTTTGAATTATACATTCACGATTTCTATCATTTAGGGAATGACGTTTCCGTTGCGCTTCGTTGGGAAAAATGAATTTTACAAGAAATAAGTTTACTTGAGGAAGTCTGTTGTAAAGTCGAATCGTGCTTATACCACAACTTCGCTTCTCCGTGTGACAATATGATGCAATTCACATTCCTCGTTCCTTATTATTATATCGTTAATCAAAGTTGATGAGATGATCGTCATACAGGATTTCATAAAAAATGATCTCTTGAACGAAGTCAATGAAATGCGTCCATGTAGACGTGCGGACGGCTTTCATGAGATTATGACATATTAATACAATCCAAGCATAACAAATCTCTCTTACACGCACGCGCATGCCGACCCGGTAATTTATTAGTGAACACTAAATTCGTTAAAATACCAAGTTGGCAATCAGCAGCAGTCAAGTCACATTTATTAAGTTCGTAGCGTCAACTCGTAGCAGAAAGTCAAATTTAAATTAGCCGCGCAGGATGTCTAAATAATATTTACGCTCGCAACATGATGTATGCTTATACAGGAGTGTGTTACAGGCATTTTTAGCCTACGAGCCGAGAGGGATTTTGTGGCCGATGGGCATAATGGGCTCCACTCAAGTGCTCTTTATGTATTTTCAGCTTCTGAATCCGAATTTCAAGGGTAACTTGCTGCAAAATAATCGGATAATTAATTATTAACTATTTAATTATTTGAATCGCCATAATTAGTTTATTAGTCCACTCATCAAAATTTTGTAAACTACCATACATTCTTCATCTAACAAAAAATCCATAGAACATTTTAGATCTGAAAAATGTCGAACAGAACTCGATATTGAATTTATAGTTGAGCGGCTATGTTGATCGCTTGCCGCGTGACTTTTTGTTGTTTAAATTTCAAAATCTCTAGTTCTACTCAATATTTTGTTGATCGAAAAAAACCTAATATATTCGTCATTCGATAAAAAAAGTATGGCACTTTGAACAATATTTATATCATAATCATTGAACTTTTTCTAGCTATTTAAACATACAATTTGTTAATAACTAATGACCCGTACCTTTTTGGATAAGCCACTCCAAATATTTTCGTTTAACTCATTAAAATACATAAAAATCGTAAGCGTGGCTATTACTAGTAATCAGTAAAATTATTAATTATCAAGAGTTTAATTGTTTAAGCAGCTATAAACAAATTATCAAATAAATCAGTGACGTTAGGCGGTGTATGTTTGATATTATGAGAAATTTACAGGATCTTAAAAATTTGAAGAATCTTAATTAAATCTTAGGATATTTGTAATTCTGTACCTGCTGAGCAGGCCGCTAAGGCAACCACTTCGCGATGTGCCTCCTAGCACGTGTTTTACGTATATTCTGATGCTTTTGTTCTGAGTGTATAGTCTCCAGACAACTTGAGGTAAGCAAATACGCCGCCGCCGGTCCAGTGCTAGAATCCATTATGCCCGTCGGCCATGAAACCCACCTTGGTTCCTAGACTACTTCCCTCTCTCTGTCGCCCGATGTACTTTTTGTTGGTGCATCGATAACGTCTGCGCCTGGCTTTGCTTGAAACTTACGTTGCAAGTTTTTTTTCTTTTCGGCAAATTTTGCCGACATTACAAGCGTAGAATTTTGTTAGTGTACAAAATGTAGGATAGATCTGCGCACGGGTAGAATCAGAAGCAATCGAAAACGTAAATAGAACATGTGACCCTTCTATCTACCAGATCTGAATGTTTACAAACATTCAGCACAATGAGCAACCATCCATGCTAGTTCCCTCGTTCTGTCGCCGCACAAAGCGAATATTTCTGTGCTTACGATTCTGAGTTAGCATAATTAGACTAACAACGACTGCTCGTAAATCTGCGAGACAATATTATAGAAACAACGGCGTACGTGCACGCAGACCTACATTTCTCAGGCGCTCTTAACAAATCCTCTTGCTCTTTACGCGCTTGCCAGAGCGCTCGGCGAAAAGAAATCAATTATCCTCTATTTTCTAAATATATCTTCAGCCGCAGGCGAGATTCCTTCGCGTATACGTATATGCAGTCGAGTCAATTACCACGCGCGCGAGCGATTATACACGGGCTATGAATAATTTATTCTAATAGGCTCATTAAGCTTGGACTTTCATTGCAGATTTGACGCCCGCGCTGAGAAATATACGGACATTCTGTGGATTTCGACGCGTTTGTCGTTTAGTATTTTCTACGGACGCGTCGATATTTTCCTTTTTGTGCGCGCGCGAGGAAAGAGTTTTTCTTACGTTGTCGGTGAGATATGAGAAATAAATTAATTGGCTAACTGATTTTAATACAGTGAGAGATCGCTGTTGAATTAATGAAGAAATCCCTCGAACAATAAAAGAATTGCAGCTTAATTTTTTTCTTATCATCGTTATAAATATCAGATGGCAATTTGATATTTATAATAATGAAATTTGTAAATGGAATTTGTGAAGTGAATAACGTTTAATCATTAAAAGCTGCGTGTTGTTATTCAAAAATAGCAATGGATTGCAAAAAGTTTCGAAAAGAATGCTTTCATTTGCAATTTCAGGCTTTTTATTATGAAGGTACTAATTGATAATCGATAATAATTTGCACTCTAATCTGATGAATATTATAAACGATACATTGTAAAGAGATATTACAATAATCGACGATTGAATTAATTCACACCTTTTGTTATCTTTATTACATGATTTATAATTT